TAGTCTCTCCAGGAGTTGGGTTTTTGTTTTTCTGACCACTTCATTGCCTTTCCTAACTCTTATGTGTCCTTCTATGTAGAAAGTCTGTTCTGCCTATTTTTTGGGTCATTTTATGGGTTGGTTGCACTGATAGGGCTATTATCTAGGTGTGTCTGTGGGACAAGGTGAACCGAAAATTCACCTACTCCACTATCTTCCCAGGACCCTCTAAAAGTATTTTTTTCATCTTTGGGGCAGGGATCCCACCTTTTCCCTTCACTAGAACACAGTCTTTACCCAGAGATTTATCTATTTTTCTTTTATTTATTCTTTCCTTTTCATTAGTTTATTTTACCTCTAAATTCTTCTAAGGTTTAAAATGTGTGAAAACAAAAACTTAAGGCTACTTCGATAGATTTTGCTCCTACAAATTTTTACTAAGGCATGAAAATAAAGTATAAGCTGTTTGCTTGAGTGAGATCCTACCTCTCTACTCAACCCCCCCCCAAGAAAAACCCAACAAAACATGAAACAGGAGGAATATTATTTCAAAATATTATAAAGCCATGTTACATAATATTTATGTAATCAATTGTCACATTTCCCAGTGCTATCAATAGAATGTTATTCTTCAGTTATGCTTCTTTTTAAAACTTTCTCTTGGGATGTTTTAGCTGCTATGAGCTTTAGTTTGTGTTTATTTTCTAGCAGTCAAATTAATTGGTGTAGAAAGTTCAAAGTATGTATTCCTTTTAGCAAGGAGGTAAGGGCTTTCATAGGACAGATGTTTGTTAACTAAGTTTTAGGCAAGATTAAAATAGTCAGCATCTGGGTCAGAGTGGCTAAAATGAATAAATCAGGAAACTACAGATGCTGGTGAGGATGTGGAGAAATGGGAACCTTCTTGCACTGTTGATGGGAATGCAAGCTGGGGCAGCCGCTCTGGAAAACAGTGTGGAGGTTCCTCAAAAAAAAAAAAAAAAAAAAAAAAAAAAAAAAAAAAAAAAAAAAAAAAGAAATAGAACTTCCCTACAACCCAGCAATAGCACTAGGAATTTATCCAAGGGACACAGGAGTGCTGATGCATAGGAGCATGTGCACACCAATGTTTATAGCAGTGCTTTCAACAATAGGCAAAATATGGAAAGAACCTAAATATCCATCAACTGATGAATGGATAAAGATGTGCTTTATATATACAGTGGAATACTACTTGACAACGAGAAAGAATGAAATCCTGCCATTTGCAGCAACATGGATGGAACTGGAAGGTATTCTAAGTGAAATAAGTCAGGCAAAGAAAGATATCATACGTTTTCACTCATGTGGAACTTGAGAAACTTAACAGAAGACCATGAGGGAAGGGAAGGGGTAAAAAATAGTTACAAACAGGGTGCTGGCAGGGGGGAGAGAAGGAAGCAAACCATAAGAGACTCCTAAATACAAAGAACAAACTGAGGGCTGATGGGGGGTGGGGGAGAGGGGGAAAATAGGTGATGGGTATTGAGGAGGACATTTGTTGGGCTGAGCACTGGGAATGTAAGTGATGAACCATGGGAATCTACCACCAAAACCAAGAATACACTGTAAACACTGTATGTTAGCTAATTTGACAATAAATTATATTTTAAAAAATTGTTGGCTTCTGGAAAAAAGGTACTCATTACACTGGGGAAGAGTTCTATAACACAGGATGTGGTTTAGCTTCGTAAAAACTTCTCCCCATTTTTACTCTTTGTGTTTTAATTTTTGCTGGGGAGAAAAAAGCAAATTTAGACATGTTTGAGAATACTTTCTAGGATAGAGGAGGCATACCATTGAAACCTTCATTCATTTTGCTTTGAAATCTACTGAAAAAGGAACCATTCTGATGTTCTGGGATTGCCTTGCCTTGTAACATGTGGCAACAGAAAGCCACAATAGAGTAGACAATTGGTCTGCTGAAATTGCCCAGACTTTTCAATTTCTTTTCCATTAAGTGATTGGAACAGACAGATTGTTTTGAACAATTGACACCTTGAACAGTTCTTGGATTTTTCCCAGTAGAATATTCTGCCATAGAAACAAGAAAATATTTTAAACAGGGAAATAGGACTGATGGTATTTAACTTAAATATTAAAAATAAGTTTTAGACAACAATGTTCAGAAAAATGAATATTTATCAGATGTCTTTTTCAAATATTCATTAGGTGATTGCTAATTACATAGCAATGAGATACTACTACATACTTAATAGAATGGCTCAAATTCTAAACCTCAGCAACACCAAAGGCTGTCAGGGATCTAGGGCAACAGCAACTCTTATTTACTATTGGCAGGAATATGAGATGGCTTAACCACTTTGGAATTCTAAGTTCTGATAAATTTTTCTGTAAATCGAAAATTTCTTTAGAAACTAAAGTTTATGAAAAAAATATTTACAAAATTCTACTCTGTAAAATAAAATGAAGTTGTATATGTAACTTATGAGCAGATAAGAAAATTACATGACATATGAGGCACAGAAAGATTAATTTCCAGTGGTCAGTTTGAGGCTATTTTGGCCCCAAATGTGGTTCTGATTCAGATCATTAGTTATCATTCTTCTTTTATCACCTACTTCCACATAGAATCTCTGCTTTGTACTACATTAGTCTGTTTTATTAGTCTGTTTAATTAGTCTGCCACTTTCTAATTAAAAAACAAAACAAAATAAAATGGTGGGTGCCTGGGTGGCTCAGTTGGTTGAATGTCTTGACTCTTGATTTTGTTGCAGGTCATTAGCTCAGAGTCAGGGGATTGAGCCCCACATGGGGCTCTGCTGAGAGTGTAATCTGCTTAAGAGTCTCTCTCTCTCTCTCTCCCTCTGTCCCTCTCCCCCACTTATGTGCTTTCTCTCTATCTCTCTCTCTCTTAAATCAAAACAAATATTTGCAAACATAAGTCTCTTGTAGAAAGTTAGAAGTCATTGAGAGAGGCAACACCAAAGAACAAACATAAAAACCTCAAATAGCATGTCTAATTTCTATACATTTTAAAGTCTCATAAGCTACTTGCCACTGGGATTTCTCCTTGACTCGTTATCTTTTTTTTTTTTTCTAATTTAAACTTTAGTTAACCTACAGTGTAATATTGGTTTTATGAGTAGAATTCAATGATTCACCACTTACATATGACACCCAGCTCTCATCACAATAACTGCCCTCCTTAATACCCATCACACATCTAGCCCATCTCCTACCCACCTCCTTCTATCAACCCTCAGTTTGTTTTCTATCATTAAGAGTCTCTTGTGGTTTGTTTCCCTCTCCTCTTTTTTCCCACCTTCCTATATGTTGATCTGTTTTCATTCTTAAATTCTACATGAGTCAAATCATATGGGATTTGTCTTTCTCTGACTTATTTCCCTTAGCAGAATACATTCTAGCTCCATCCACATCATTTCAAATGGCAATATTTCATTCTTTCTGATGGCTGAGTAATATTCCACTGTGTGAGTGTGTGTGTGTGTGTGTGTGTGTGTGTGTGTGTGTGTGTGTGTGTG